CCCATATAGGATCCGACCCCGCGGCGGGAGCGCTGCTGCACTCCCAGCGCCGCACTCTCCCGAGTGCGCCACTGACTCAGCCCTGCCAGGGTCTTTTTAAGCAACGAGCTCTTGCGGGAACTAATAGAGTGAGAACTCACATGACTCAATCAGTTTCCAACACTGCCTCATTGGAGATCAAATTTCCACATGAGTTTTGGAGGGGACAACACATCCGAACTCCATCAACCCCAAAGTAGAATAAATCGTGAAGTCATTCATTCATCAGATATTTACTGAGGGCCTACTATGTGCCAGCACCTGTTCTAAGTGCCAGGGATACAGAAATGAACAAAAGAAACAAAAATCCTTGTGCTCATGGGGCCTGTATTTTAGTGGGGGAGACAGGCAATACATATAATAAGTAAATTATACAGTGGTTTAGAAGGTCACAAGTGCTATGGAAAACAATAGAGGAGAAGAGGGGGATGGGAGAAGGGTGTTCCTCAGGATGGTCAGAAAAAGCCTCATCCAGGAGGTGACCTTTGAGCAAAAGCTTGAAAGAGGAAAAGGAGTTAGCCATGCAGATGTTGGGGTCATTCCAAGCCAGGGCCCCAAGAGGGGAGTGTGCCCGACAGAGTCCAAGAACACTGAGCCGATGGCGCTGCGGCAGATCAAGTGAGGGGGGAAGGTTGAGGCAGTGTGTGGAACCAGAGCCCCTGGAGGGTATTGAGCATGGGAATTATATCACTGCATTTATCAGGGTCACGCAGACTGCTGTGCTGGGAATGGATCATCGGGGCAGGGGCAGAAACAGAGAGACCAGCCAGGAGGCTGTTGCAATTATTCAGATAAGACATGAGAGTGGCTCGGGTCAGGGTGGTAGGTGGGGAGAAGTGGTGGATTCGGGATATATTTTGAAGGGAGAGTTGACAGAATTTCCTGACAGATTGAATGTTGGGTATGAGAGAAAAAGAGTCAAGAATGATTCCAAGATTTTTTGCTTGCGCATCTGCAAGGATGGAGTTGCCATTAATTGGTATGGGGAAGACTGTGCATAAGTCAGGCCCGGGGTGGAATATCCNGGGTGGTAGGTGGGGAGAAGTGGTGGATTCGGGATATATTTTGAAGGGAGAGTTGACAGAACTTCCTGACAGATTGAATGTTGGGTATGAGAGAAAAAAAGGAGTCAAGAATGATTCCAAGATTTTTTGCTTGCGCATCTGCAAGGATGGAGTTGCCATTAATTGGTATGGGGAAGACTGTGCATAAGTCAGGCCCGGGGTGGAATATCCAGAGTTCAGGTTTAGATATGCTGGATTTGAGGTGTGTGTTAGTCATTCAAGTGGAGAAGTCAAATAATCAGTTGGATTATATGAGGCTGGGATTCAGGAAGAAAGTCTGGACTGGAAATATGCATTTCAGAGTCATGAGTGTGTAGCTGGCATTTAAAGCCACAAACCTGGATGGGATCACCAAGGAGAGATTGTGGAAAAGGAGTAAGTGTGAGCTGTGGTCCAAGAGGGTGGTCAGAGGTCAGAGCAGGAGAAGCAGGGCCAGGGGAGAGTGGTGTAGGCAAGGAAGTGGCTTAGACGTGGATCAGGTGAATGATTAGGGTCCAGGGGCCATACTGGATTCTGAGGTGACCTGGTGGGACAGTAAGGGTGTTGGTTCTGGGACAGTGTGTGTGGGAGCTTCACAGTGATTTAAAGCCTAATGTGCCAGTAACACTGCCGTTGGAAAGAAGAGTAAAGGCACAAAACTTAGGTCGTTTAAGAGCTTGTGAAAACGAAACAGACCTGAGATGCTGATGGGGCTGCTGCGTTGCACAACTCCAACGTGGCAGCCAAGCACCAGCTCCAGCTGATGAGTGGAGGCTCCCCGGAGTGCTGGTTGCAGAGGGAGTCTGACTGTATCCTGCCTCTGCAGGAAAGAGTTCTGCAGTCAGTTAGCGATGGCTGCTGTGGGTGAGGCCTGGGAGTGGAGGCTCCAGTGTCATCCTGGTTCTACACCGGTGGTCCTCAACAGGGATCATTTAAAAATTTGTGGAGGCATTTTTGGTTGTCACCATGACTAAGGCCAGGTTGCGGGGTGTCTAAGTGGGCAGACACTACTGGCATTTAGGAGGCAGGGGCCAGAGATGCTAAGTGTCCAGAATGTGAAGCACAGCCCTATGTAACAGAGAATTGTCCTATCCCCAAATGAAACACTGACCACTAATCCATTTCTGGGCTTGATGCTGTAATAGAAACATTCAACATTTGTGTGAGGATTTAAACCTCCAGACTGCTCTCCTGGTTTTGCCTTCATGACCTTGAAGCATCCTGGCTTCCTCCTTTAGTGCATTCTTTTTCTGAAGGTCAGTCAAGCAGAAGATTTTTTTTTTTTTTTTAAGATGACCGGTAAGGGGATCTTAACCCTTGGCTTGGTGTTGTCAGCACCACACTCACCCATGGAGCTAACCGGCCATCCCTATATGGGATCTGAGCCCGTGGCCTTGGTGTTATCAGCACCACACTCTCCCGAGTGAGCCATGGGCCGGCCCAGGCCTTCTAATTTTTTAAGAAAAGCTGGGTATCTAGATTTTAATATGAAACTCCCAATTTTAAATATAAGCAACATATTCATATTTTTCTTTTTTTCTTTTTTTTTTTTTTGGCAGCTGGCCAGTACAGGGATTCGAACTCTTGACCCTGGTGTTATCAGCATTACACTCTCCCAAGTGAGCTAACCAGCCAGCCCATAGTCATATTTTTCTAAGACACAATAGGGCAGACGGAACATATTTACAGCCCACCCATTTGCAACCTCTAAGGCCAGGCAAAGATTGAAACTCAAGATCTATGCCTTCATGGAGCTAAGCACTAATGCAGAGGCAGACGCCCAAGTGCTTCTTTTTAGAAGGGGGTAGATATAACAGAGTGGGAACAGAGGGAGAGTGTATGAATATGACTTCAAAGTGAAGGGAGACTTCATGGAAGAGAGAGTATTTGAGCTGAGAACTGAAAGATGAATAGGAATTTGCCTGGTAGACAAGCCAGGAGAGGCATCCCAAGCAGAGAGAATGGCACATGCAAAGGNAGGCAAAGATTGAAACTCAAGATCTATGCCTTCATGGCGCTAAGCACTAATGCAGAGGCAGACGCCCAAGTGCTTCTTTTCAGAA